GTGGCTCAGAGCAGCCGGTTTTTAGACTCAGAGACACTTTCTGTGTTTGTGCAGCAACAGGCTGTGACCAAACCCAGAGATCCATACAAGTGGACAAGTTACTTCATGATCAGAGATGTGGTTTCCTGGTGGCTCTTCTGTTATTTAATGTGACTTCTCATGTTGTCTTTTAACAAAGACTCTGCTGTCAGGGGAGGGAAAAGGTGAAACCTCTATGACATGAAGATGAGCCTATTATTTATTTTTCATTGAGAGCTCAATTTCAAAGGTTTGATTTTAATTAAGACTCATTTTAAAAGTTGAATCATATTAAATATATACATCAGAACACTGACGGCATTATTCTTAGAGGATGTGGATGCTTAAGTGTTTTTCCATCTCTTGTTGGAAACAGAACTTGTAATTTCCCAGGGTTTTTAATAGAAATAAGGGAGAAAAATATCTCTATATTTTTACTGAGCACAGTATTTTTAAGACACTTTTATAGTATGTGAACTTAAATGGCATCTGACTGCTGTTTTTTATAATCCTTTTTGCCTTGAGTTTGGGTTTTATCAGACAGGAAGTGCTGCAGTGAGAAAATGACAGCCTGGAAGAGCAGACAGACCAGCAGTGGAAGAGCACTGTGGCATCCCCTGGAGAGCTGGCTTGGAAAGGAATCCTTTCCATGAGGACAGTGGGCATTTCTGCCCGTGCGGATAGATCATCACCAAGGGTGTGACCTCCCGTCCACCCCCAAGTATTTCCTCACACTGGGGCCTGGGGCAGGGACTGCTGGGGGCTGGCAGGACACCATCAGGTGCTCATTAGGTGTCTCGTGAGGTTATTTTTCCTGCCCCTGTAGCAGTGAGGAAATGATTTCCTTTTGTCTGGGAGTGTCCTGTTAGCACAGGTTTTCCCAGAAGGCAAATACTGTGCGGTGTGAGAACATCATCTGGACAAAGTGAAGCTCAGGGCACCTTTACCTTATGCTAATTAACTTGCTTCTTCCCTTGGATAAGGTGAGAAAAGGTGACTTCTTGGAGTCAGTGGTTTAAGAGAAACCACAGGCAGGACTCATGAGGTATAACTGTGGTTTCAGAGGGAGGGGCTACAGAGGCACATCAGTGTCTGAACTGTACTGAGATTTTTCTAGACTTGGTTACTGAGCACTGTCTTGAAAGACTGGGCATGTGCCATCTGCATGGCTCAGTGTAGGGATTTTCTGGTGTGACTGAAGCAGAGGGTCCCTAGAAGCAGGCAGGCTGCATATGGTAATACAAACTGGACTAGCAAGTATACCCTCTCATACCCTGTCTGCTCCCTGAGGCTGAGTAGTGTGTGACTTTTTGCTGCAGATCTCATTTGAAGTTGTTCTTTGTCATAATAAACATGATTAAATGTCCTGGTTTGTGTTTAAGCTGTTGATCTATATAACCTCTTGGTACTGGGGCAAAGTACAAAAAAGGTGCCTTGCCACACACAGAGCATGGGGCAGAGAAAGTGGAGCAGCAGCTGCTTTGTTTATACTGACCTATAAGTTTATATAAGGGGTGGTGGAAGGGGGAAGAAGCTGCAATTTATAATGGTAAAAAAGGGTGTTCTCATCTCTGGAACTGACTTTATTTGGATATTGTAAAACTGTTTGCACAGATGCCATGGCCACAGCTGGTCTCACGACCTCAACATACCTGAATTATCCTTCTCTAATTCAGTGTGCTTGGAAGTTCTCATTTAAAAGGTGAGCAAGGCCCAGGAGCAGTTTGCTACATACACAGAGCACAGTTGTGCCCTATGGGGCCGAAGGCAGTCAGTCCTTCTGTGGGAACCAGCAGGTAAGATACACCTCTGTGTCCATGGTCTTATGTCTTAAAGGAGTTACTCTAGTTTTCTGGGCATCCCGTGGTACTTTGCCCTGGTTGCTCTGTAAAGCCAGACCCTGACTTTGTAACTAAACTGTAGGAACTATTGTATGGATGCTGTTTCCTGCCTAGGGATGCTGAGGATGCATGACCACAGTCCCATGGGGGCTGAGAGGCTCCTCTTAGTGTGAGTGCTCCATGCATGATACCTGGTGTGGTGCTGCAAGGAGAGCAGCAGGGAGAAGAGAGCTCACAGCAAGCTAGGTTAGAGCATGTAGCCTTCCCTCTGTCAGTCTTTCCTGCTGTAAACTCACAACTCCCAAAAGAAAATGAAGCAAAAGGGTGTTCTACTAACTTCCTTCAGGGTGTGCAGTCAGAGGAGCCATTGCCTCACTTGAAAAACACAACACAATCCCTTTGCTTGGACACTGCATCACAGGAACCAAATTCAGGCAGCGACTGGCTCCTTGACTCTTGGGCCACAAATTCCTATTCCATGCACATTCCTCAGCAGGTATGTAGGAGCCCTACATCTCCCCCTCCAAGCTAGTTTTTGTGGTACATCTCTATCTGACATAGTTCCATAGATGGGTGTCTTTAGCTGGAGGAAAATAATGCGGGGCACGTTTTCTTGTGTAGAAAATACCATTTACTGTGGATATGAAAATAGCAATCTTGATTAAGAGCAGAGATGCAACAGTAGGTGGTACAATTGGTTTGATCATCTACTGCTCAGCAGTAACTTACAGGAAGTTGGTTTTTGCCCGTTGTAGATTAACAAATTCAGTATCTGCTGGGTTTTTATTTCTTCCTTCCAAACAAACCAATGCCGTACATTAACAAGTACCATAAAATGTTATATTTGCAAAAGAAAACATTTATATAAATAGGCTTTTTAGTATCAATTGAAGATTGTATTAAAAAAAAAGTTACTTCAGTACTGATAAAAATAAAACTTAGCTTTGATAGCATATAAAACTGCTTCAAAACAAGCATATATAAATAACTTAATCTGTAAACATAGAAAAAAAATCTTATGTGTATATAAAAATAAACATCTGATGCACTGTACAATAAGACATTATCCTTCATAGGCACTGGCATCGTTGATCAACAGGAGTCCCCCTAGATGTTTTTCCTACAAAAACTGCTTCATCACTAGTGCCATGTCCAAAATAAAAGGGAAAAAAAGCAAAGCACTGAGCAAATCTTGTGTGGGTTGGATGAAGACCTCCCCTACCTCCCCCAGCCATGCTTGGAAGCAACACTGGGGATAGAGCCAATATCCCATGCTGCTGTTTCTGCTCATTTTAAATAGGGCTTTAATGTACTGCCTCATTGGCTCTTCCTTTCTTTGTTTCCACCAAGAGGGAGGAGGATGGGGAACTCTATGACAGGTTGCAAACCTGGAACTCTATTTTTGCTCAGCTGCAGAAAACTCTGTGCTGGGTTGTCCCTTTGTCCTTGAGGGGCTACAGAGGATGCATGTGGTTGGAAGTGAACCATATGCCATGACACGGTTTGGCAGGCTTCTAAGAAGATGCTGAGCCTCACCATGAAAGAACAGCATAATTTTGGTGTTAAGATTGTAACCAAAGCAAATTTGTAAGTAAGTGAAAGGTTTTGCTATCCTACCTGGTATAGTTTTCAGGGGGGAAGCCTTGGGCTGGTATGCCTCAAAACTGCTATTTTCTTAAATATCAATTCAAAATAGCTATTTTCTTTTAAAACTGAATATATTTATAACAGGAAGTAACATAGAAGCTGAGAGCCAAAATTACACCTGTGCAAAGATATAGCAAAAGTAGCTCTTGGCTCTTGAACTCAAAAGGTGGGAAAACTCATCTTTTACTTACAGTAACTGTTGAAGTAGCAGAAGCTGACTCTGGTAAGGTGGTCGCATGAATACATATTTCTCACTTGACAAATTTAAAGTGCAACAGCTTCTTGAACAATGTGGGCATTTTTGAGCTAAGGAAAGCACATCATAGCAGCTTCTATTGCTTACTTAAGGTATATGAAATGATCTTTACTGTTGTGCTGAAGAACTAATGGAATTACTTGAGCTGGTTGTGGTTTTGTTTCTTTTTAGGAATGTGTGACCAAACTAGGGAGTGTTGAACAAATATGTAAAGCCTGACAGCAGGATTGTTGGACTAAGGTCAACAGTAATGCCATGAGGTAATTGAGTGGGAAGAGTCTGTCTTCACTGCAGTGAGCGAACTGGTCATGTTCTGAACAAGGAAGTGTGGTAGGACTATGGCCAGGCTGGATTTGCAGCTGATAGAAAGCGCCATTGTGGAAAAATGCTGGAGCTACTTTTATTTGCAGGATATAAATTCTAGAAACAAGCTGATTACTTGGTACTACTCCCTACTAATGACAAAGTGTCACTGTTTACAACTGTCAGTTTGGTTTCTTGATTTCAAAGCACCTAATTCTGCAGTGCAGTAGAACTGTGTCCTGAGGTGTGGTGGTTTCCACTGATGCTGCATAGTGTAGTGGCAATCCAAAATACCTCACACTGGCTGCAAGCCACCAGCCAACTACAGGAGAAAAATCTATCTAGGGTGTAGGGTGACTAGTGGATATCGCTCTGTTTGAGCTTCCCTTCTCCAGGGGAAGTCTAGCCAGCGAGCTAGGTTAAATGATTTATCTACACTGTTAGGAATTCTGCATTTGATGCTTATCTCAACATCAGAAAGTGGCTTTGCAGCTCTACTCAAGAGTTGCAAAGGGTCTCAAGCCATATGCGGACTGTTTCCAGTTTGTAGTGCATTTCATTGCTTCTATTGCTTTTTTCCCACTGCTGCCTAAGCTTTCTTAAAGAAAGAAGGTGGGTCTTTGAAGCTTCTTGGAAACAGAAATTAAATACTACATCCTGCATGCAAGATGTTGGCTATTGTAAATCAAAGTCTCTTCCTCTGCTTTTTATAGAGACAGCACACCTTCCTGCTGCTCCGTGGAGGTTTTCCTGGTGCATTTCTTCCGAGCAGCTAAAATAAATGATCCTTTTTCCTAACTCTTCTTTTGTACAGTCCAGTGTTAGCAGTGAGGCTCGATTGTGACTGTGAGCCAGCATTTTACATTACCCTTACAAGGCTTGTGTCTCTCTGTGAACTTCGAGCTGCTGTTACGTGTCCAGTTTTGTACCCAACACTAACTGGCAAGGAAGTGTGCCAGGCGAGCGATCACCAGGGGCTGGCGCTTGGCGATGGAACTCAGGAGCCTTGCAGGGATAGCCGGGGCACCGAGATCCACCTGCAGGAAGGAGAAGAAAGGCCACGTGTTAGGGTTTGTACCTGGGTTTAAGCAAAATGCTTCTCCAGCCTCAAATAGCTCTAGTGCTACAAGTACATGTAAGTATATGTAAGTATGTGGTGGTGCAAGTACGTGTCTGTAAACTACAAAAGTAGTTCACAGGCAAACGAACACTATCATTACTGTGTGGTTTGTATCTGTTCCTTCCCAATACTCCATAGGCCTTCAAAGCTTTGATATTTGATCACTTTCAACAGGTATGACCCACACTGCTTTTTAGTTTGAGCTTCAGTTAAATATTACTAGTTTGAGACAGATCCAGTGTTACTGAAAATATATATGCATATATTATTATAATTAAAGATTACTATTATATTATCTTTATTATCATATTAATATTACTAAATATTATAATTAAAGATGATTTTTTAATTGTCTCTAAAAACATATATTCTGTAGCTAAGTGTAATGGACTAATGACATTTAGCTCTCTGATGAGCACTTTAAAATAAATTATACACATTTGGCATTCTCTTCTGGACATTACTTGGTACCACTGTCTCAAGGAGAGCCTACTTTTCAGATGAATCAGTAATAAATGGATGGCAGGGTTTTCTTAACTGGAATCCTAATCTGGCCTTCTGTTTTGTGCCTGTTAAGTCTGAAGAATTAACAACTTCAGTTAGAAAAATTCAGCAACCAGTATTTCTGTGCATTTTGAAAATACTGTAACCTGAGGTGGACTTCTCTGCCCACAGCAAGGTAAAAATGCCAACAAGGGTTTCCATACCGGCTCCCCCTGTGAGAAGGCAACATCCATTGGAACTGCTAATAATCCATTACAGAAGGGTCTTGGTATCCAGGGGAGCAGCTCCAGATGCTGCAAAAGCTCAGGATCAACCATGTGCTTCAGCACAATCCTAGTAAGATTCTCTCTGCTTTAGTGCACGTTATGTTAGATAAGAGTGTGAAGTGGAGGAGGCATTCACGGTCACCTCTTGGAGCATAGCATCAGGATTATAGATTTTGTTACTTACAGCTCTTATCTGTAACAGCTTTTCTCATTCACAGTTGGACATACAGCAAAATCTTACCTGTGCCATGTAAATAACTCTGGTGACATCTCTTCCATTCACCACATCAGGCTCCAGTATCCAAGCACTTGGCAAAATCTCCCCTCTCACCACTTCTTTGCAAGGGTGGGGCATGGATGCATCATAGACAGACTGGACAGCTAAGACAGACAAGTTCTCCTGCATGTGACAAAGTGTAAAGATGACAACTGGTACATTTTTTTAATGCATACAGTAATGTTTTCTCTGTTTGTCATGAGGATATATTTCTCATACTAGTTAAAAGAACTCTTCTAATGAAATAATATTTCCCATATTTATTATTTTATTAATTTATTAATCTGTGTTTGGCATTATCTTGCATGTTTGTAACCAGACTATGCTGTGTAACACTTGCGTTACTGCCTAACAGGGCTTGGCTGATGATTGTCATTCATGAGGGTTTTATACACAATTCCCTTGTGTTGTATGCACATGGCTTTTCTACCCATTATACCGTCACTTCTGGAAAGATGAGCATGGACTTCCCTTCCGTCTCCCTTTTGTCCTTGAACCAGGAGCTCAGCACAACTCCTCTGTGCTGCAGAGAGAATGTTCACTTTACCTCTTTGGCTTCTACAGTAATGCAGCAGAAATCCCGGGGTTGCTTTAGATAGCAGAGGGAGGTATCAGTCACTAAATACACTGTGGAAAACAACAAAGAGGGGAATTAGACTTTGACAACTTTAACTCAGCACACTTTCCCCCACCCCTTAAATGCATGTGCATATTTCATTTTGACTTCCTGGTGCCAGAGAGCAGAACTCTAGTTAATGTGTTCTAATATGTCATTAAGACGCTTTCTCAAGCCACTCAAGATTTATTTTGACTTTCAAACCACCATCTCTAGATGTACATCTACAGTGAGATGTGTTTAAATAGTATTCTTGCTTTGGAAAAGCCTTGCAAAGCTCAAGTTCCCATATTAAATAAGGAAAGTATTTATTCAAACATAAAGAAATGAAGTAAGATGTCTCTAAATTCCCTTCTGGCTGGCAGCCTGACCTGAGAAAGTACCTAATGATAATGGTGGCCAGTTGTTTGTGTTGATACTCACCCAGCTGGATGTGGCTGGTTACCTTCTTGTGTATTCGAGCTGTGTTGATAGTTCTATCGTACAGATGCCGTTTGCCAGGATCTCTCACTAGTCCCCACACATAGGGCAGGGGTCTTTCTATCACTCCTGCTCCCAGGAACCCATGCTTTGTTGCTGAAGGGAAGACTTTGTAATAAACCCGTACCTCTTTTTCTGTACATTGATATCTGTCAAAGACAAATTAAAGGTATTTGCACACGAGAGGGCCAAGTACATATGAAGATTTTTTTAGCCCCTGCCATAAACTTACTTCCACCCAGCTGCTGCTTGGCAGGTGTAGAGATTCCTCAGGTTGTGAGAGCATGCTGCCATTACCTTAGAAAACAGTGACAGATTTATAGTTTAAGAGAAAGCTGTAGAAACTATAAATTGCATCCAGCTTTTACATGCTCCTAGACTCTCTTCTATTCAAACTACTAAGCTGGCTTTACCACACATAGTTTTACAGTGTGTGTAATCCCTAGGGAGTATTAACTGCCAGATGGACATATATATATGTTATACATATATATATATATATATAACATATAAGCCTCTATGCTAGCCCAAACTATTGTGAGAAAATCAGAGATGGGTGGAGCATGTCTCTAAATGAAGGTGAAGTGATTGTACCTGGTCTGCAACAGGAAGTTGGTATGCTTTCCTTCTGACTCAGCAGTTTCTCCAGCTTCACATGCAGCAGTCTTCTCTGAACCCCACTGCTGCAGCCTTGCTCACTTCAAATGGCCCCCACCATTTAAAATTGCTCAGTGTGTCTCTCTCTAACTAACAAATAGGTAACTGTCAGCACTGTAGAACAACAAGGCTTGTCCCACATATTTTTACTACAACTCGACTTGTAATAGGACATATGTGAAAACTCTGTTTATTTACTTACCTCAGTGGTAGCATTGGCCAAGATATGTTTGGATAAATCTTGGTATCCTTTTGTGGAAGAGGAGCTGACAGAAATAGTTAATCCATGGGTGAACCTACAGCTGATGCTGCTAGAAGGAAGGGGTGGCTGGATGCTGCTGGATTCTGCAGGAAACAGAAAACATAGGGGAGTAAAAAAGATGGAAAAGGAAACCCACTGCTATCTGCTGTTGCAGGGACTTCAACCTGCCACTGGAGCACCCAGCCACCTGGTCCTCCTGAAGGACTCATGCCATCTCTTGTCTAGGCAATCTGCATATTAGTAATTACACTGCAGTTACATCGTGCATTACTCAAGTTTAAGTTATTACCACGTATAAGCTACCAAAATAACCTAAAGAAGAAGCAGCAGTCTGGAGGATAAAAATAAGAACTTGCATGTACAATCTTATACCCATTGCAGCTTTAGCCCCTCCCATGTGTCTTTAGTTCATTCAAAGTGTTGTCCTCCAAGAACACTTGGTGTGGTAACACAGGAGGACAAAGACCAACTTTAGAGGGGCCAGATCCCCACTTAGTTTTTCAGGAAATTCTAAGCAAGCTCTGGCTACTGGTTGATAGTATTTTCCTGAAGTCATGTAATGGTAGGGACATCTTATCATAGAATCATAGAATAGTTAGGGTTGGAAAGGACCTTAAGATCATCTAGTTCCAACCCCCCCTGCCATGAGCAGGGAGAATCAGATTAGATTTTTATTTACATAAATGACAAATTTCCTTAGGCCTTGGGATACAGCTCAAACATAAGCAGGTATATGTTTTACTTACCAAATGTAGACTCCTTCTGTAGTTGCTCTAACACATAAAGCTGGCTGTTTCTAACAGCTGAGCGACCTCGTATATCTCTTGAAAGCAAAGCATTCCCAGCGGAAACCTGATTTAGGAAAGAGCAGAAGTGGAAGCCTTTGGTGTGAATTGGGTAAAATAAATTATGTTACATAGCAAGTGGAGTATTTGTCACATATCTGCCTTACAAGTTCGGAAGCTTCTCTTGATCATAAAGTATCTCCTTTGCCTTTCCCCTGATTCTGAAATGATTCCTTGACTCAGGAAATTGAGCAGACCGAGTGCAAGGAGCTAGCACAGGTGCATACTCCAGAAAATAACTAACTTCAGGAAAGTCCATGTTCACACACACAAACTCTTTAAGTCAATGCATGCATCATTGAGGGAGGCACATGGAGAACATCAGATTCTGGTTTATCACAAGAAAAGGCTTGTTTCTAAAACATTTGGCAGATAGTGGCATTACTGACAACAGTAACACTACTTGGATTTTACCTATGAGTTGAAAAAAAAACCACACAAAAACACCTCAAAAAAATAAGTGTCACTATTACCTGGTGATGCTCCTACCACATCGCCCTTCTGTGCACTCGTGACACAAACTTGCCCTGCTTCTGTTCCTGCGTTATCTGTCTGTTACTGTTAAAGCATCAGGAGACATCAGTCTCGCAGGCCAGCTGTTCCTCACCTGTCCTTCCTGGCTGCTGAGGTTACTTGCAGTATACGTAGCAGTATTGCTGCTGTTGTAGCCAGATGTTGGGCCAGAGGAGAGGCTGAGGCTGGAGTCTGTACATAAAGTGCTTGTACTTGCAAGAGTCTTCAGCCTTGCTTCTTCCTGTAATGGTTATCAGGGTATTACAAACAAAAAGCCACGCAAAGCTTACATTGCACAGCAGCTAGTCAAATCAGTGACAGCACTGAAAGGTGAAAATGCAGTCATCTAAAGAAGTCCAGCTTCTTTCAAGGAGTGTTGACAGGACAAACGCTGTTGCCATACAGAAAGTATTAAATAAGCAGGCTCATTTGAAAGACTAACATACAAGCCATTGAGTGAACCACCCTGTATAACTTGGCAGTCTGGGAAAACGCAGCTTCTGCTGTGTTCTTCTTCACAGAAGAGTCCAGGCTATTGAACCAATGCGGGGATGTTTTTAAGGGGAAAAAAAGATTTTAAAAAAAGATCTCTTTTCAGTCCCACTTGTTCTTCTTTGCCTCTTTTTTTGAGTAGCCCCTGGCTTGACTTAACTTGCTGGTCAAATGTAGTTGTTATAGATGGGAAATTTTACCTTAGCCAATTGAACCACTCAATGCCAGCCCAGAAAAAGAAGTAAAAATTACGTAAGATAATACCAAGAAGTTCAAGGTTATTTATACTTTCAAAGGTGGTTTTAACTTTGTGTTTCCAACTCTGGTGAAGTATGTCTACATTACACAAGAAAAACAAGGTAGCAGATGTAGTAAGATCTAGTCATCCAGTGGAGGTGCCTGAATTCAAGGTGCCTTAAAGAGTGCAGAGCAATGAATGAGCCACATTTTGCACCAGATAGATACACACATTTGAGGAGAGGAGGTCTGCAGCTACAACTAAGGTTCGTGCATTAAAAATGTGTAGTCAAAAACTGGGCTGAACAAAGAATTGTAGAACGGTTTGGGTTGGAAGGGTCCTTAAAGCTCATCCAGTTCCAACGCCCTGCCAGGGACTGGGACACCTTCCACTAGACCAGGTTGCTCCAAGCCCCTGTGTCCAACCTGGCCTTGAACACTGCCAGGGATGGGGCAGTCACAGCTTCTCTGGGTAACCTGTGTCAGTGTCTCGCCACCCTCACAGGGAAGAGCTTCCGAATATCTGATCTGAATCTACCCTGTTTTAGTTTAAAGCCATTCCCCTTGTCCTATTACAACATGCCCTTGTAAAGAGTCTCTCTCCAGATTTCTTGTCAGCCCACTTTAGGTACTGGAAGCTGCTCTTAAGGTCTCCCCAGAGCCTTCTCCAGCTGAACAGACACGTCCTAATGAGGTACTGTCATTGCATCTGGAAGAGAAATGCATGGACTGTGCATGACATGCTTGGGCTGTACAAGGTGGGTAACAAAGTGCAGAAGAAAAAAAAGTAGAGGACAAATACACACATGAAGTACAATCTAAAAAGAAGAACAGAAAAAAAAGAAGAAAGGCCTTTGTGTTTAATTACATACTGAAATAAACCCAGTTTACCTTATCAAAACTCTTCCATTGATGGGGCAGATGCCTCACAGCATGACTATGTAAGCTCCAGCCAATGAGAAGACTTAAGGAGTTTCTTGTACATAAAATACAGCTTCAGGAAGGTGTAGTTCAGAAGCATGAACAGTATCGGTTCAATATTACTCAAATTCTTTTAATCACAAATTTACATTTTATTCTTTGGCTTTTCAATGCTGATACGTATCAAACAGGAGGATTACTTAGCCAAAGGAACATAGTTCCCTTTAAAACAACACATTGATGTGAATAATGCCCCATGGTTTCCTCTGTAACACTCACCTTCTGTAACTGAGAAAATATTTGCTCCCGTATACGCCTCTTTTCTTGCTCAGCTCTCTCGCGAAGTTTGTCCCTAGCTCGTGCAATTTCACTTTTGGTTTCCTCTCGTGCCCTCTGGTAATCTCGGAGCAATAGTTCAATGTCTGAGGGATGCTGAATGCTTCTTCTTTTTGGTTCTTGAACTCTGTAAGGGTAGGTAAGTGGTGGGAAACACACTTAATTGCTTGAAATGGGGTCACCTGGCAAAATACCATGAGAAAATAATCTTCTGGCACAGAACATCTTTCAACACATCCCTGGCACTGTTGAAGGCCAGGTTGGACACAGGGGCTTGGAGCAACCTGCTCTAGTGGAAGGTGCCCCTGCCTGTGGCAGAGGGGTTGGAACAAGATGATTTTTAAGTTCCCTTCCAACCCAAGCCATTCTATGAACAGTAAAATTTGCCAGAACAACAATTAAACCCCACCATATTAGCCTCAAAAAAGTTTCTTTTTGTTCACTGAAGCAAAATAACCTTGGAAAATTATTTAGATTGCAAGTCCAGTTTAACACTGAGATTACTGTAGCAACTGCACTGGTTTCTAAGTCAGCTTTCCATATCAGCTAAGGTTACTGCTTTGGCATATCACACACAAAATAATTGCATTGGGAAAATAACTGTCTCCTGACCTACTGCAAAGGAAATAAAAGTATTTTAGAGAATATGGTGGAGGATGAGAATCTCAAATTCTACATGGTGAAGGGCTGCAGAACTTCTTTGACATTTAACACAAAACTTAGCTGTTTCACGTGTCTTTTAAGTTAGTGAAGGAGTAAGAATACAGATTGATCTGTAACGAGTGAAGACTGAACAAATACTTGGCTGTCCCTATGCATCATACACACAAATGAAGACACTTGTTATGGACTGAAATAAACCAGATGGAAATTTTTAGTGCATGTTTTCTAAAACAGGTTCATGCTTTTCCTGACAGCACTTTCTATCCCAAAGTTTAGCGCTTCTGCACTGAGAAGAATTCTGCCACGGAAGTCTCAGATGTCAGTAAGAACCATTAATACGCACCCAGTGTGAACACTGTTAATGTGCATCATGCCAAAAGAGAAGTTTCTAATGCCCTACCTGGTGTTTTCCACCACATCTCTTCTCAGTTGTTGCAGATATTCTCGGCGTCTGCTGGGGAGATCTGGATCCCTCTGATTCGCATCCAGCGTCTGTAACAGACTCAGATGCTTTTGAGGACTCAGACTTCGGCTTCTTTGGTATCTTTGCAGCCTTTTTTCTCTTTCTTTCCTCAGAGTTTCAATGGTCCTCATGTGTCTGTCAGAGAAACATGATTAGATTGACAAAAAGCACCCTGCAAAGTTACATTTTCTTATTTTCCTAAAAAACACTTAGGTAGCTTTGTAAAGTAAAATTTGTAGGAAACTAGTACCATACACCCCCTTCCAAATAGCCCTTTGGCCACATGCTGACAGATGATGCAGAAATTCTGAAACTCCACTGCTTTTATAACAGTAGGAAATGCATAAGAGGGTCTTGGCTACTGCTTGTAGTGGCTAAGAGGCAAATTGAGGATGGAGACCAATGCAGCTACTCCTAAATCTTTGTAGTGACAACAGCTTCCTAAACTGAGTTCTGTAACTCAGTCACTAGAATCTAGAATCTTGATGGTTTTCATAATTTACTTTATATACTTATGGCGTTTTGTTTGGTTTCTTTTGGCATATTCATACAGCAACGTTTATCACAGAATTAACATGAATAAGATATTCCCATAAATAGTATGCATCAGTTATTTTTACATTGCAATAAATCAATGAAATATATTCCCATGATCACCAGGTACATGTGATCGCTCTTAAAGCTGCTAGAGATTTTAAGAGAGGGTGACACTAGATTTGAATTACACCAAATCTTATACTTGTCCCTATTTTCTTGAAGTAACCCCCAAATTTTGTATTAGCTTAATACTATAACTTTTCACATACTGTTTACTCAGTGTGACTAAACGATTAGGTGCTCATTACTAAATGTTATTTACACTGCATGAAGTGTACATGAAGTGTATTCAAAATACTTACAACAACACTACTTGAAGTAATTTACCTTTCATAGAGTTGCTGCTTCACTGGAATCGCCACCAGGTCCTCTGCTGTCCCGCTCTGAAGGACCCTCAGCAGGGCGTCCGTTTCCCCGATGCCATAATTGAGCTTTGCTTCGGTCAGTTCCACAGTGAGGGGATGCTGATGCAGATCCAGGTGAATGCCAGACATGATCTGAGCACGCTCTCGTTGAAGTCTCTCAATCTCTCTGCTCCTGCTGTCACAAAGCTGGGATTTCTCTTCCATTTCTGCTGCTCGTGTGCTTCTAGGTTTCTTTTCTGCCCGACTTTGTAAGTCAGCCATGCTGCCACTCAAGCTGAGCAAGGAAGGAGGGCTGCCCTTAACACCACACCAGTTGCTGAATTTATTGTGTATGGGTAAGTCCCGGAGGCTGTAGCTCCGAGGCCTGTGAGGCTTTGCAAAAGTAGTATTTTTGTTGAGAGGAATCTCAGTGTCACATTCACTTTCAGTGACAGAATCCATATTGTCATCTTGGAAGGAAGTCTGCACGTCGCTCACATCAGACAGTGGGGCAGGGCAGCTGTGTTCAGGTTTCCAGAGGAAGTCATGAAATTGTAAAGATGCTGCTTCTCCGAGAGGTTCTGAGGACGTGCCAGCATTTGTCTTACTTGAACAAGTGGCACTGATTCTTTTATTGAAAAGGAACTCAGCATTTGGAGGCGAGTAGTCATGAATTAAAGCAGTGTCAGGATTACCAACGTACTTTTCGCGCCTAATTCCAGCTGAAGAACCTCCTCCTCCCCTCGTGACGTACATACAGCGAAGCGAACGTGCCAGTGGACTGTGGTCTCTGAGATCACCTGTTAGAAGTTCCCTGTGGCCCGACACCTCCAACATACTGCTAGAGTGATACAGTCGTTTTGCACAAATGGTAGTGTGGGTGTCAACCTTTACTCTGTGCTGTTGCCCCAGGTCTTCTGAACCATGCTGTCCTAAAAGCTCGTCGGCTGCTTTCTTATCTGGGAAACTTCCCGATTTCTTTCTTACGCCCTTATGTTCTCTAGAAGCATTAGATTCACTGTCTGTTTCTGTCTGTGAAAAGTTGTCCACATGAGGTGGCATGCTGGACTGTGGACCTGCCCTCTGCTTTCTCTGGTTGTGAAGAGGACTTGAAGCATCACTGGAATATCCAAGAGGTTGCTTAATAGGGCAGACAGACTTGCTAGAAGCAGTCTGGCTGCTGGGACTAGCGCTGAGAGTAAGAATAGGGGAAGAGGCCCTGTCGACTAGCAGAGTGTTTTTGTAATAGAATTTTCTCTCTGCTGGAATCTCTAGTTCACTGACCCTTCTTTTATCCTGAGGGTAAGATGCTACAGATTGAGAAGTGCTATCAGTAGGGCTGCTAACTACAGTGCATGAAGAACCATCTTGCCTTGAACTCAGTGAAGATGATGTGACAGATGAAACTCTGGTACTAGTAAAAGCAACATTCTGCTGTGTATTCAATGGTGGTTTTTTGCAATCTACAATAGGAGTGGAGGTTCTGGGTAAGAGAGGCAGACGCATAAAGGAGTCTTCCAAAATGCTGTCAAGACTGTCGTGGAAGTCAGGATTACCCAGACTTCTCATCTCTGTTTGTTCTTGTGTTCTTTCTTCAAAGGACAGTGTTTCCTCTTTCCTTTGGAGAATCTTACCTACTGTGACCGTACCTATTTCTTTCCAATCAACATTTACTGCCTGAGCCACCCTCAATTCGTTTTCTGCTTTTTCCTCCATTTGTTTTTCTTGATGTTTGCTTTGAGGTTCTTCCAGAATCTCTGTCTGAGTGCCTACGTCTGCTGTAGTCTGAGTGCAGCTATCTGATCTAGTAGCCTTTACAGTCTCTTCAGTTCCTCTTTGGTTGATTCTGGCATTCTGCTCATTATCTACAATACTCTGTTGGGAGAGGTTTCCCAACAGCTCAGAAGTGTTCTGAAGCAGCTGCGACAGATGCATGGACAGGTTCTGCATGCTTGTCCAAGAAGAAGGTTGATGAACTAAATCTCTGTTTGTTTCCTGCTTTCTTGCAGAAACATCCGTATAGCTTCTCTGGTGTCTTCTCTGCCTTTTATACCTTCCTGGAGCTGCTGTTTGAGTTCCCTGCTCACATGTAGTCCCTGGTAGTTTTTTGGAAGGCCTTTCAGACTCAGAAGGATATAATAGTACAATTTCATCAACCTGCACTGAAGAGTTCCCAGGTTGTGCAGAAGGATTCTCAAGTTCAGCAGTGTTATTTTCTGGATTAGTTTCCAATGTTTCACTGGATACATTGCTGTACTGCTTGGTGCTGTCACTTGAGTAAGCAGACTGAAGGTTTTGTCTGACATTGTCCCATCCTTGAAGACCTTCAATGCTGCTTAAAGTGCTCGATAAAACTTTTGCTGTAGCGTATGAACTGAGATGAGAGTGAAAAGGAGAATTTTGAGAATTCAATCCATTGTCTACACTGGAGCATCTCATAACTTTACGATTTTCCAGGTTTAAAGGAAGTTGATTGCAAGAGACATCACTTGCACTGCCAAAAATATACTGTTTCCAGCCAATCTTGCATGATCCATCTTGTTGCCATGGGTGAATATATGGGTTGATATCACTTGAACTAAAATGCATTGAGTCCTTATTGTCTTGCAAAAATAAATTTGTTTCTGGCTGGTATCCAGCTTCTTCAACTTTCCCTTCACTACACTGAGCTACAGAACTACTCTTTGAATGGATATTTGCTTCTGCACCCACAGAACTGTGAGCTGTACGCAGTAACGATGATGGAGATCGAGTAGTAGGGTCTTTTAGAGACTGGCTGCTGTGAGTTCTTGCTGCAAAGCTCTGTAAATTTTTGGGATCACAGTTTGCAAGCTTTTTAGTTTGTGCCATTCTTTGCTGAAATCTGGTTTTAGATTTAACCTGTAGAAAGTTCTTTGATTCCTGCTTTGAAAATCTTTCAAGTCCACGAAGATCATCTTCAGTTGGTGATGGAGGCTCGACACTCATGTTTAAATCTTGTAGTGATTTAGATACAGAATACAATAAGGGATCTGCCTTAGATGAAGCTTCCAAAGTATATTCTGTATCAGAGAAGACAGCAATAGCTGGGGCTGATAGTCTGTGACTTTGTAAGTAAGGTCTCTGTCCATTTTGTTTACAGGTCTTTGTATTCCGTGTGGTAGAATATGATCGTTTGCCTCTTAATTGCACAGATTTGGATTCTTGAGGAGGCAAATCATGGGTTTCTGGTAAAAACTTCACAGAGGTACTGTCATTATTCATTACAGAAAACTTCAGTCTTTCTGATTTCAGAGTCTTATTCCTCATTATATCATCTCCCATTGCTGAACAATTGCCTGCATCAGCAGCAGGGCCATCAGCACCTGAACCTGTATTATTTTGGCAGAGTAAAATCTCTTTTCTATCCTCTGTATTTGTTCTACCCAGCACCTGTTCCATCTGTTCACCTGTAGGCACATACTGACAATTATGTTGCAGATCTGCAGGGTTTTTTTCAAAACCCAAGATAGCGTGATGGAGTCGTCTGGGATCAGTGCTCCTGCTGTATGTGGGGTATGTTGGACTAAATGAATTGGTGTATTCAGGATCCATATCAACATCTCCTGGATACAGATTTTCCAACACTGCAACTTCCGAATTTACTAATTCATTTGCAGAATTTGAGGATACATTAGTTTGTATTTCAACAGGTTCTCTACATGGTGTTTTTCTCTGCTCTGTCTTTACTGCAAAATGTTCAGCCTCAGTATTTGAGTGCAATTCTGCCTCATTTCTGTGAAGTGTTTTTCTCATTTGTCCCTCTTTAACAAGAATTGCCCTTCCCGTACGCCCCAAAGGTAATGATGGTAATAAAAGAGAATTATCATTTAGTACTTTCTCTATGTGTCCTGTGCAAGCTTCTTGTGGTGGAACTTTACCCCAGTGGTGCTGATCAACTTTTATATCACTGTCAAATTTTTTATGATTACTTCCATAAACAGGTTCCCCATCTACAGCAGAAAGTTTATATGAAGTAGAGTCTGTGTCTGATACTGGACAATGCCTGTTTTCTTTTGCAAGAGAAAGTAAAATACTTCCTGAAGCACGTATTGGCTCATCAAATACCACAGCCTTATCAGACTGAGTGTCTTGGATTTGCAAAACAGCAAATGGAGAACGTTTCAATACACTTGTATGTGAAATATCATATGTGCCAGTTTCACCAGGGCCTCTATCTGCAGTCAAAGAAGATTCTGAAAGTGGTGTTAGGAATAGGTGATTGGCACTTGTAAATGCTTGAGGAAAATCTTCTTTTATGGAGCACACATTTGCACAACTGGAGGACACTTCCTCAGTCAAAAAGGCGTCTTGAAGGGAGTCCTCAAGCTGACTAAATATTAGAGATTTTGAGTCATCAAGTAAACAAGATGTATCAAAAGCACTGAAGTTCTTGGAGCTTTGAAAAGGTGTTTCGGCTGGAGTATCTTCTGCAAAGCAGGATGGAAAAGACTTTGATTCTTTACTGCCAGTCTGTCCTTGGCTCTGAAAAGTAAGTGAGCCTGATTCCAGCACAGTCACATGAGAAGGGTTACTGTAGCGTTCCGAGTACCCGGGAATTTCATTTTCTTTTATGTCAGTGCAATTCTGGAAAGAACCTTGAATTGTTTTCTCCTTTTGATCCGTTCCTGCAACTTTTTCAGGCAGTTTATTATTCTGACTGTCTGTGGCCTCTGCAACTGCAGAACTATTTTTCCTTTCATCTCCTTTTTGAGAAGCGTCTGGAAAAGTTACAGACACACTTAAATCAGTGGATTCACTTTCGAAGTATTTTGTTTCTTCAGAGAGAACAACGTTGTTTTTACCTTTGTCTTCACTGCTGGTGATCAGAGCATCTGCAGATGATGCTGGATGATTTAGGAGACCAGGAGAACATTCAGAAGTGCTTGAGTTCTTATTATAACTTAGAAACTCTTTATTATAATGTGGATTTTCCCACAGAGACTTGTTCAAACCTTCTGAAAGTGTTGAAGTGTTCTCAGAATCAGAGCTGCCTCGTTGGTCTATGCAGAACTCTTCAGAAATCCCACATCCGTGAGTTTCTCTGGGGTCGCGCTGGTACCCAGTTACACCAGGAAACTTTGTATTTTCATTTTTACTGTTTATTGTAGTATAGCTTGTGCTTAAAAATTTCTCCTTCTCATCATGCTGCGACAAACCCTCTGACTCAAGTACCTTCTGAGTTGGATTAGTGTTGTGATACGTTTTTTGCATAGAGATTTCTAGTAAAAAATGTGTCTTTCCCTCTTCTATATCTTCCATCACTTCTTTCTCTGAAGAAGAAAGCAGGTTTGAATTATCCAAGAGTAGCGAATCAGGCACAGTGGTACCCTTTTCTTCTTGAGCAGTATCTTCTATGCAATTAAGGTAGTCTTTTGAGAGTTTATTAACCATTAAATCCACACTCAGTTCTTCATGACTAATGTTAACATCCTGAATTATATCTTCGGAAGAATCAAATCTTTCCAAGGAAAATGGGCTTCCTTTGGCCCCTGGCTGAAGTACAACCATTTCGGGCTCAGGACCACCTGCACTGTAGGGAGTGGAAGAACTATTCTCATTGACAGGTTGCCTAGATATGGCATAATCAGATGCACTGTTAAATACAAAAGATTCTTCCTCCTGCCTGTCCTGTGTGGTCCTGGTTTGCAGAAAAGCTACATTCTTACTTGACATTCTATCAGGAAGACACTTGTCTTCTCGCATTTGGTTGACTGCAACAGGCATACCAACACAGACCTCACTCTTCATTAATGTTTCATAGTAAGGCAGAACAGCTCCAGTTCCAACACTGCTGTTAGATGCCCTTGTATGCCCTTTCAGTGCAGTGCGAACATCTTGAACAAGATGGGAATCATCACTTACTCCAAGGTGTAAAAGGTGATTTACAGACTGGCATGGGGAGTCTTTAAGTAAACCTTCTTGCTTCTTTTCAATAGACTTCAGTGTTGCTGGTGGGTTTTGTTCCTTGCTGATATCTTCATTATTTCTAGAAAAGCTGGTAGACACCCACTGACTTTCTCTTAAGATTTCACTTAATCTGCTGCCATCGTGTGTCGTTTGGCAGCTGTCTTTGTTTTCAGGGAATAGTTTGTTCAGGTTTTGTAAAACAGCCATTTCTACTTCCTCTGTGTTTTCTACAAACATCTGCTTTTCTTTGGCCATTTGTGCTAGATTCATCAAATGCACTTTCTCCTCCATGACTCTGGAGCCTAATGGATCCAACTCAAAACTATCAGACCTTTCTCTAGCGATGCTTACATTCAAGTTTTCTGAAGCACCATGCTCAGGACATCGCATAGAGCAACTCATATATGTATCCCTGCCCTCTTTAGCGTGGAGACTTTTAAAGTCTTCGTCAATACCAGTACTGTCATCTACTGAATATTCATATGCATCAATATCTTTTATGACTGCATTTCTTGTACCTGTTACAGAGTCCACTGAGCCACCATCTTCACTCATTTCAGTAAGATCATGGTATCTTGAATCATCTTCTAACAGTGTGTCCTGTTCTAGACCTGAAGCTGTTAGATATCTTTCAGGGATCTTGAATTGATTTAAAATTTCCTCTTTATCATCTCTGTCACAAGATATCTGATGTAAAGCTGGAGACGCTTCAGTAAATAAAACAGTTTCATCTGTGATCATGACTTCGTGCCTCATAATAATCGGCTCCTCAGTGTTTGTTATGATGATTTGTTCTTCACTCCCAGTCACTTCACATTCATTAACCTTGTCTTCCTGGGGCAAACACTTTGGTACAGAATGCTCTATTAAATTGCTAGAATTCACTTGTCCTTCATTTTCAGGTTTTGTGACCAGTACTGTTGCAGCTACGTCCTCTGTATTAAACATATTCTCTATTGTTCTGTCCATCTGTAAAAGCCCCTCACAAGTATCAAAGACGCCTGAAGTATTCTGAGTAGTATCTGTTGTGTGGGAACACAAAGCTGAAGGAGGGTGTTTGGGAGCAACAGAAAACTCTGGTGAATAAATACCTATTTCTATTTTCTCACTTTTTTCTTTTTGGCAAAAGCTGGTTGTTTCGCGGTGGCTGCCAGAATGCACGAGTGCTTTTGATTCCTGAGTGCAGTCTATCCTGGTGCTGGCTACCTGCAGTTCATCTTTCTCCACCTCTTCATGTGTCAGGCACAGATTGGTATAAAACTCACACTGAACCTCACAAGCTTCAGTATCAAGAGGTTTCTTTGGATTCTGAGACAAACTCATGTCTTTAAAATCCTCTCCACTCCTGTCTTCAGTTACACTTTGGACCTGGAAGTCAGGTAAACTTTCAATCTGCCTGGATTTAGTTTGCAATGCATTTTTTTCTAAGTTGATTGCACTAGTGGTTAGTTTTGCTCTTTCTTCATCAGAGTCTGCTTTTGTATTCTGATAAGGAACCACAGTATCTTCTGGATTCGTTTCTGGGTTTCTTAAAAACCTGGGTTCTTTATTTTCATACAGTCTCTCCTCTTGAGAAACAGTAGCTGATGTATTTGTGCTGTATTCAAATACTCTTTCTGGCTCTGGGTTTACATCATCCTCAAGAAGCAATATGTCCTCTGGGCAATCACTTTCTAAAAAGGCTTCTTTCTCTTCTCTTGATTCAAGTAAAGATTTGCTCTGTGTTTCTGTTTCCAAGAGAATGGAAATGTCGGTCATCCCATGTGTACTGATTTTTTGCTCTGTTGATTTTGAAGAGCATGTTGTGCAAAAGCAGCCACAATGTGCCTCAGAACCACTTCCTGTGGCACTGACTTCCACAGTAAGATTAGATTTAGCATCACAATCTCCTGTCGCTATGGTGACATGCTCCAATAGTTTATCATAATTTTCAGTCTCAGATGCACTTTGGAAAAGATTAGCTTTTGTTGAAGCTTTATAAGTGATGCTTGAGTTGGATTCCAGGAGAAACTCATTTGTACTCCCACAAAGAGCAGCAGGGAAGGACTCTGTGTCTTTCCCATTTACATTCACTATGAGATAACTTGCTTCATTTACCACTAAGTTTTCATACTCAGATGAAAATTCGTTCCGAGTTACAGCCTGAGAATTCAGGATGTTGTGTTCTTTGCTTTCACTGCTTTCTTCTCTTACACCATCAATGCATAATGTAGAATTTTCTGAAACTTGTTGGGATAAACAACGTGCCTGACTGTCTTCTAAAGCACATTCCTGGGAATAAGTATTTGAAACAGATTTGCTTTTAAATTCATAACAATTCAGTGAAGACAAGTCTTCGTCCTTTGGTTCGTATTCTTCATTATCTCTGAATGAAGGCACATCTTCTGCAATCTCTCCCAAGCTGTCTGTGCTTGTCTCCATACAGATAATCTCTTTCTGAGCCATCTCTACTGGTGTTGCAGACTGGTTGTAACTTGCACTGTGAGCAACAACTAAAGGGTTACATTGATATGTTTTTTTCTGTGAGGAAAAATCTGCCTCTGTTGTTACTTCTTCTGCAGATACCTGTTCATAATTCATTTCTTGCATTGTTTCCAAATTACTCCCCCCAGATCTGAGGAGACCTACGGTAACGGCTGATTCTGCTCCATGTCCAGCCAATGGCTGAAGCTTGTAACTGCTTACCAGAGAGCAGTTCTTCTTTGTTAAGTCACTGAGAAAGAAACCTTCACCACATGTTGGTATTTCCCTTCTTGGAAAAAGCTGCCCATGGCTTCCAAATTGGACTTGTTTTACTGCAGATGCCTGTGTTGAGATCACATTGTGAGCCAGGCCTGTAGAAGGTGCATTGACAGATGCCCTTCTGCCTGAGCCTGTCACGCTTGGTTTTGCCATCAAGTTACTGTAGTCATCATCGAGGTCATCTTTTTCAGAAGTTCTGAAGAAATCATCTTCTAGATGTGCATTGATAAAGCCATTTCTCTGCTCTGAAATTTGCACAGGCAACACAGAAACAAAGGGTGTTTTTTTCAGACTGTGGTCTTTTGGCAGCTCTGGATGAGCTGTGGGAAAAGAATCCTCCTCTTTCCTAGATACCAGTGGCAAGCAGTCTGCAGTGGAGGCACTTTCCAAACAGCTGAATGTTTGTGTGCATTCAGTGGCAGACCTGTAAGTAGATAATTCATTCAGTTGTTCTTGTTCAGGATAATTTGACCTCGAATGTTCATAATAATCATGCTTTGCTGAAACAGGAACAGAAGAGGAGCTTGGTCCTACTGAGCTAACAAATGAGGACATTACATCTTGAGATTCCAAGGAAGAATTTGCATTAGAGTTTGTCCATCCCTTAAGAATCTTATTTAACGATTTGCTCTCAGAAACTTTGCTTGCAGTTGTTGTTGTTTCAGGTAAAGGTATTTCTGACACATCAGAGGAAAAAACTGTGTTTATTTCATTTATACGACATGATAAATGAGTAACGCTGTGTATCTGCTTAGAGCCAGAAATGAAAGAAACTTCAGCAGCTGACTGCTTTAGATCTTCTTTTTTCAGCCAAAGCTCTGGTTTGCTCAAAGAGCAGAGATGAGCTTCTTGAAACTCCAAATGTTCATGGGAAGAAGGTGCTGTTCTGGGGCTGCTGATGTCAACCTTTGAGTCACAGGAACACCAAGCATCAGTAGTAAGCAAAGGATTTCTACTTGCATAATAAGGTCTTCTATCAAGAGACCTTTCTTGTTCTACAAAGGGGACTTTTATCCCATTCAGCAACTGCTTGCAAGCACTACTGGAAGCAGGCTGCGGTTTAGTGTCCAAGTAAAAGGAACTGCTCAGCTTCAGATCATAACTTGCCCCTTCTGTATCTCTGTTGCAGGTCTTGGACTCATGGTCTTCCTCAGTCTGAATAGCTGGTGATCTGGGAGTTTGTAACTTCCAAAAAATCTCTGCTGGAACTTCATCAGATGAATCAGATTTGGATTCTTCTACTGGATCTTCTGCCGGCATCTCTTCTCCATCAGCTAAGCTGTCCAGAGAAAAGCTTCTTTCAGGCTTTCCCAGTCTCCTACTAGACGTGTATGATGTCACCAAAGATGAAATATGGTGATCGGTCCTGCTTTTGGAAAGTTTAGCTGGCTCATGGTGGGCCTTTAACTTGTGAAATCGACTTGTATTTTCCTTTTTGGCTTTATTTTCCTTTTCTACCAGAGAGTCTTGTGACATTTGACTGTCATCGCTCTCAGAATCTTCTGGGTTGGCGAGACATTTATTTCTGTCAAAATCTTGTTTCGGTTTTTCCGTGAAAGCTTTTGCATACGCGCAGGAGAGAGAATCCACAGAATAGGAACTGTCAGTATCAGAAATCTCATTTTCATCATCCTCTTGCCAGTTGCCCAGCACCTCTGTGGCTGTTTTGGATGCTCCAGCACTTAGCATCTCAGCACTGTGCCACTTCTTTTCAGCATAGAAGAGCGGTGCCTGTGCGTTCATCTTAGTGAGATTTCCTACTGATGTTGCCACCATCAAAAATTCTTGCTGTTCCACTGATGCTTTCTCATGACTTGGCAAGGCTGAGTTTGGCTCCCTCTTCCAGTTCTTGGCTGTTTGGTTTAGATGCACTGTAGGTGGGTTTCGATACACTGTTTTCTTAATTTCTGTAGGAAAGTTTTCTGAAGAAGGTCTGTGGCCGTTTCCATCGATATCCATTCTAGTCTTTTTATTGGATACCTGAGCTCTGTTTTGTTCTAGATTGCTACTTGCAGCCTGACTTAAGTCTCCTAGCACCTTTGCTTTTGTCATTCTTGTCCCTGCAATAAAGGTTTCAGGCTCATTTTTCTCCTTAAAAAGATCAGGAGAGAAGCCTTTAGAGGTCTGGTTTTGAGATCCAGTTTGCCCTGGATTGTCATCCACCTTTTCAATTTTTTGATAATTTCTATTGATAGAAGCCATGATAGCTGAATCATTAGAGTCTTTGTCTGCTCCTTTTTTATTTGCAAATGAAGATGCTTTTTGTTTTTCAGTTAGCTGCCTCTGCACTGAAAAGGAGATCTCTTTTTCATCATTAAGGTCATTGCTGTCAGAAATGTCTTTACCTCTTCTGTAAAGATATTCTACAGATGACAACCTCCCTGTTGTATTGCCTTCACAGCTTTGATCAGTATTTGGTGAGGTAGATAATGTTGAGACAGTCTCCCTCTTCAACAAACAGCTGTGGAAATAAAGAAATAAAACACAATCCTTGCTTGAATAATATACTTAACAACACTTCCACATCAGTAATATCTTGTAGTTAAGAGTAGCGATATATGAAGCAACAATCTTAATGCCTTTCAAAAGCAAATTTTAGCAGAAAATAAAAACAATAAGATGAAATTCTGTCAGTAACCATGCAGTCCTTTAGATATCCTGGGATATGTTCTGCAACACAAGGGAACAGCTCAATGCTACAACGTGTAGCTTGGTATTTAGTCTCTGTAGGCTCAAGTCAGCTGCAAACATCAGATTGAAATAAAGGATGGTTCTAAATCACAGAAATACACTTAGCAGAGTTCAGCTATTTCCTCACTCCAGGACCACGCTGTGATAGCACCCCAGCTTCTTAGCATTGCTTAAAGAAGTTTATTTGGCTTGGGAAAGGCTGGCCAACTTAAAAGCCAAATCCAGAATCATCCCAGTGATACAAATATTCTGAAGGAAGAGTTTGATCCTAATCAAGATAAAATGATGCAGAATTTAGTATTTACCGACAGTTTAAACAAGGTAAGAACAAGACTTAAGCCAGGTGTGGAAAGCGTTCACAAAGAGGTAAGAAGTGCAGAAAGGCTTGGGAGAGGAATGTAAAAATAGTGATAAACACCACGTCAAAGAGCTGAGTAGGGAATGCACTGTACAGATCCCAGGAAAAAGGGCAAAGATCCAGTGTGACATACAATATAATAAAGTTCACCGATATTGCAGGTTTGGGGATTGTTTCAATACATTGAAAGGCATCCTGGAGTACAGGTGGTCACTGAAAATACTTTGAATTACTTTAGACCATGCAGAGGAATCGGCAGATTTTAACTTACCTGGGTGCCTGGGGCAGACGTGAGTTACAGAACAAATGCTTCCCCTGCTGCAGGGAATTTGAACCCAACGACTTCCTTCTCCTTTGCAACTGGTGAACCAAAGAGGACTGTACAACAGTATTTTCATTTAGGACTTGGGATTGTTTCACACACTCTTCATTGAGCCAGCAGCTAGCTTCCAGCTGCTCTAGGTTTTGCTTGGCTTCCAATAACTTCTGCTTCTTGACTATCCTTTCCAGCTGGAATTTTACCTTTTTTCGTCTTATATTTCTTTCTGCCTTTTTCAAGGAGTATCTTCGCAAAAGCTCCAGCTGCACCAGTCTCTTCTTGTTCTGCTGTAGCAGGGAAGGGCAGATTTCCAGCCCAATGGTGCTCTGCACTTCAGCCTCTGCATACAGCTTAGTCTCCGTTTGCACTGCAAACTCCCTCTGCTGTTGCTGAAGGGCAGCCAGTCGTTTATTCTCATCTATAAGCCACTGCTGGTCTGTAAACAAAATAATGATTGAAAGGAGGTCAAAATCATAGGAAAACCATTGTTCATCGTGAGTTTGTTTCTTAATTTAATCAGCCATGAGAGCTCATTTGAGAACACAATTTTTATGCTTCTAGAACAGAGTCTTGACATTCAGAGAAAAATATTTTTTTCTCTTAAAACCCCAGAAATTAGAGAATTGCTGCACTTTATTGATAATCAAAAGCCTTTCCACTGGGATAAGGACTCAGATAACAACTATAAGATAGAAGCAGGGGCTTGGCCAAAAAAGCTAAGGAGACTGGTGGATAAGACCTTGTTTATAAGAAAAAGTAGAACACATTTCAATTTTTCAAAGATTACACTCAAACACCACCTCGATTTTGTTGTTAACCCTGGAGTCAAGACTACTTTGTTCCATGCAGGGGATGTGCTTAGAAATTTTTCAGAGCATGCTGGCTTCAACCTAAGCTATGATGAACTGTAACAATCAAAAGAAGGGATAACTGAGATCACCGCTACCATGTGGTGTCTGATGGTTTGGGCATGTTCTCTTAATGAAACAGAGTTTGTTCATCTTTATGCTGCTAGAAAAATACACATATAGAGCTGCACAAAGCAAAGGAAAAAAACAATGTAAGAATCATAAACAAGGTTCCTAGAAAAGACCAAATCTTGTCAAAACACTACTGTCTTACCAGCAGAAACATTTCTTTTGGCTGGGCTTGCCTTCAGTCTGCAGTCCTTTACTGACTAAGCAACCTTTCATTGCATATTCAGGAGGTTAGGATTAAGAGGTATTTAAATCTGATGTCATGAACAAGGACTACCCGCAGCTCTGCATAGCTCAGCTGCAGGAGAAGTATTTTGGGCTGTGGAAGTTTCCCTAACGTAAGAAATCATTAGTGCATAAGCATTGTCAGCATCACTTGCTTAGTGACGACTGAGCTTACCACGAGTCTCCTGTCCTATTTATGCTGGGAGCTCTGCAGACAGCACATACACAGAAATAGGAATTCTACCTCTATGGTTACTCTATGAATAAAAGGGAAGCATTTTAGTAATTATTTTAGTTAACTTTTCTTAATGACATTTTTAACTTGCACACACAAAGCTTTTTTTTCCCTCAACTCTTTATTCCCAGATCTTTTCATTAGCATGTTTCTATCAAGCAGAATATTTGGCAGATAAGAGTTCCCTTGGAACAGAGCTGCAAGCCCTAAGATGCTAATTATTTTCTGCTCACAAATTTGCTGCTGGCATGAGCTGAGACACAGAGGGTGCAGAAAAGGTAGGGAACTTTTGTGGGTTGCCAACTGAAGAATTAATTGTATTTGTGTGGCAAGGACTACCTGCCTGGCTAAGCTTTGCATGAACACATCAAAACCAGCAGAACTAGATGGACACAGAGAATAAGTCTACAGAGCCATGAAATAAAAAGCAGGGGGGGGGAAGTGTCCTGGTTGCCTGTACTATTTACATACTGTAAGTCCCTTTCTGCTACATCACATCACCACAACTTTCTCTTAATCTCTTCATTATGGCTGGCATAGTTAAAAAGATAGCAGACTCCAGAAGTTTGGGTGTAAGAAGTTTCCAAAAATTTACAGTTTTCTTCTTCCAAGAACCAATATCAGATTTTGCCAAGTGGGAATGATGCCTCTGTAATTTGGTCCAAGAAACTTGGACCAAATAATTCATTAGGAGACAAACTAGAGAACACTATAACCACTCAATTTCAGTGGTGAAAAACATCTCAAGGTTTAAAATGTTCTCAAATCAGACTATAAACTCATTAAGGGGCAGCCCAACCTCACCAAGACTTCTTGCTGAATATGTCCACCAGAAAGCAAAGCAGCACCTCTGAGGGCCAGGAGCCACTGACACTAAAAAAATACCTCTCTGAATATGCTGTAGCTCCACCTTCTGACATAGCTGTTTGCCATTCAAAATCTGATCACTGGTCTAGCCTTTAGTACTCTTGTACCACCCTGTAGAACTTCCTTGAAATAACTCCTGTTTGAACCAAAGCATTTCTCTCTTTTTTAAAATCCAGGTTTGGTTTAAAACAAATTAAGCTGTGGAGAATGTGGTATAGCTGATTAATCATCTTTGGGGTAAATAAAAACCACACCTTATTTTTGACCTTAATTTGTCACACTTCAATTTCTATTTCTGCCACAGAATATCTTCATATGTTTTAATTCATGCTGTAAAGGGTGAGGGTGTTTAGAAATACTGACTATATAAAAGCCAGTGAAACTCTCCCCTTAACTAGGGCTGAGATTTTAGCTCTGAATTTCAGTGTCCCACCCATTTCTCAGATATGTCTTGTTTGTTTTCCTTGTTTAAAACTCACATAGCAACCACATAAAATTCAGTTTGAGCCACGGTTTTATGCCATCACTCTATTCTTCCTGAGAGAAATTAATTAAAGCATGTGCAAATGGTCTATATTGTTACTGGTGACATCCTCAACGAAATGTGTAAAGAAAGTACCTCAACCAACATGTCGCTGTCTTGGAAATGCTGCTTGGTTCCTGTCATCCTGTTGTTCAAGCAGTTTTCCCTGAAACCTAATGGCTGGAACTACCACAGTCCTCTCAAATTCAATATCCCAGAGCAACTCATTGGATGAAGCACTGGTGCATCACAAGAAAAACTTAAATCACAATAGCAGACTTAGCCTACATGGCAGAGTTGCCACTACAGATACGAGCTGAGCAAAGCTGCAGGGAGGCAGAACAGGGAGCCACAGGGGAGCAGCATCCTGATGCCAGCCCCTCCAGCAGTGACCTGCAGAGCTAATTAAACAGCACTGCCGGTGCAGAGCAAGGGAGACCCTTTAGTTCTGTTAATCAAAGCTTAATAACTGTTCTCAAGGGAAAGGCAATTAGAAGAGAAAACTACTAATAAGCCATAATAAAAGTTCCACCCATAATATAAAGCATAACTAGGAGAAAAACATCAAGAGGATGAAAGAATTCAGTCATGAAAGAGAAGTAAGAGAGAGGAAGAGACAGGTACCCACTTTCTTGGATCTGCTGGTTGATTAGTGCTTGGTCATTTTCTAGTTCCCGCTCTGCTTTGATCTGTCCTCTCAGGATCTGCTGCTTTAAATCCTCAACATAGAGCTGCTGCCGTTGAATTTGTTTTCTGTGGAAAGCTTCCTGGTCTCTCAATTTCTTCTTGTATTCTTCATGCACAGCATCTATTTCTCTGTTGTTAGAGATGTTGGCAGTGAATTTAAACCAGAAACAAATACCAAACATTTGTAATAAACCAACTCATCTTACTGAAGAAGGACAACACTCAAGACATTATCCTTTTCAATAAGGGTGTGATGTGAAAAAACCCGAGATGGCAAAGTAGCTGTGTATATGCATGTCACAGCAGGTACAATCCTGTAAGCGTCATAAATGTCAGCAAACATGAAAGCTCTTGTGCTGACGCAGATTCCATCACCAGAAAGGTAACAGCAAAAAGGATTTTAAAAATATTGTCACCTCTCATTTTGCTGTAGATTTTCCAAAAAGTAAATTGGGGAGGAAGGTTGTTTATGTATTATAAAATTTTATAACCACTTGGATCTTCATACTTCAAAATGCTTTACAGAAATTACATTCTCTGTTTTCAGGTGAAAAATCTGCAATCTAGAAAGGGTTACAGGCATTGTTCAGCTAACACTGACAGTCTCTGGCAGTACCAAGGAAAGAACCTTGTCACACCGTTCTCTGTTGGATGCAACAACTATATTAGGTTACTGCTTCTATATTTGGAGCAGAATTGTGATAAGAGAAGTGACTAACCTGTGAAAATCTGCCTTACAGTCCCCTCCAAGATGTTTGATTCCTGACTGTATGCCAAAATTTTACACACACTTGTGCACAGACACACACAGTAATAACAAAAACAGTATCTATTCTTAGCATAATCCCTGATAATATTCAAAATACATTAACTCTCTGAAAGGAATATATGTTCTACCTGTCCACATGTAGTCATCAGAAATTCTTAATGTTAATTTGATTTATACAGGTGATGTATGATCTGTCTGTTGTTTTGTATCTACACACGACATTATATATAACCTTAGAAAATTAAATCTTTAAGTCTTGGAAAAATATTGACATATATTTTACTAACAAAGTAAATCATATACTTATTATAATGTTAGTTTTATTATGCTTTTATAGCGAGCAGAGGTGCCAAAATGCTAGAAAGACCCCCGAAGGTCAAAAGAAAACAAAACCATGATTTCAAGTGGAATGCTTTGGAAACGTAACGTTGTTTGTAAAATCACTGCCAATACAAGGTCATCTGTATGAAAAGAGCACTTGACTTTTGCTACATTGGAATTGATTTGACATCTCTATTTAGAACTGCAAGCATGTGTTCAAAGCAACCATTTCCACAGCAACAACTTTGATTCTATGTGCTAGATTAGCAGGCAAAACAGATGAAATGAGCAGCTAAAGTCTACATACCTTCTGGAGCACCTTTACATGGAACATAAACGTCACTTGCTTAAGAAGCAGTGGGAAAGCCACACTACATAAACACCTTAAGATTATAAATAATGTACAATATTACTGTGACTCTTCTGTTCACCTGAGGAAAACACATTTTAATGTTTATGTAAATGTAATGCTGGTGAAAATAACTGAAAAGGAACAGCTGTTCAATTGTCTGGCATGGTGCTAACAGTCAGAGTACAAACTTTGCTATTGTCGTCTGCTAAATGGTTTGTGTCTGTTTGGGGCTCACAAGAACAAATTTAGAAGAATAGGCAGCTCCAAGAACCATTTGTCCTTGGCTTGACTGCAAAGATGCCAACATTTTGTGATTTGTAATGTTTTCCTCTCAGAGAAACTTTAATTGATCCCCAGGAAATAGGAGCGGGATGCTTCATTTCTTATTCAGCTGAAGTAGGTTTCAAATGACCTTTCACTGCAGCACTGAAATGCTTATATGGCTATTACAGATCTCCAGCTGTTCAGGTATTTGCAATGCTACCAATTACCAGGGGACAAACTCAAAGGTTAAAGCTAGACTGGTTAATTAAAGAATCATCACTTTTCAAACATAGTATTGAATCTGGAGGATCCTGTTTAGGAAAAGCTTCTGTGGTTTCAGTGATAACTCTGAGGGAGGCTTTTCCTGAATGTGGCTTCCATGTTATCTTCTGTATTTTCCAAGGGAAATTAACGGAGCAACCATTTAACCTGGAGGTTAAAGTACTGATCCGAGACACAAAACCTCTCTGATTTTGCAGCAGTTATATCACCTCTGTGCTTTCATACATGCTTAGGCTGCAAGGTCTTCAGGGCAAGGACTGCCTCTGGGTGCCCATGCACAAAACTTAATAGAGCCTTGCTGTCAGCTGAGGCCTCTTCTTGATATGCTAAAACTATTAAACCTTAACAGCAATTGTAATTGTTGAGTCTCTGTGTGCGCTCTGATGATGGGGTAGTCTTTAACCTGTTTTGCTAACAGACATATGAAAGCTTTGATTGCTGTGGTGGCATGAAAGTTGAAAAATGTGAGCCTAAATTTGTTACTGGACAATTGCATGACCTTGGGCAAGTCACTTAGTCTGAAGCCTGAGAGAAAGAAGTAAAGTACATTCATCCAAAAGGAATGATGAGTATCCTTTAACATTATCAAATATCAGAAAGTCAAGTATTGGAAGAGCTGATTGTATTCATTTTTCATTATTAGCACCATTATGTATGAGAGAGAGGAAATGAAGTAAATCATTGCCAGTAAGGCTGAAAAGCAGAGCACGATAGTAAAACAAGACTAAGTATTCCCGTTCTGCAACTCTTTACTAAAATTAGAGAAAATTCTTCTTACAAAATGGCTCATATTCTTCCCAACCGTGACTCAAATCTCTCAGCCGTCATTTTCATAAAATCCACCTATCAGAGTTCAAACTGTTTACAAATTGAAATCCAAAACATTTAAGTATATGAAACAACTTAGTGTTGCATTTCAATCCAAAGACCTCACAATGCTTGCAGAGGTGCTTAGGCAACATCTGTTTACAGCTGAGAGAGGGTCACAAGCTCTTCCCATACTTTCCAATAATACTGAAGCCAACTCAACCCCTCCCATACAGTAAAGTATCAGAGAATAAGCAATGCAAACAATGCAGATGGAAGTGTGGTGTTTGCTGTTCTCAGCAGCACTAGTGTATTCCCTCATGTGTGTGGTAGTGGCTTTTTGCTGAACTAACATGAAACTGTAAGATCCTTTCCAAAAGGCATGTGTTTTTGCACGCAGAGGAGTACAGGATGCAGCCCAAACTGATGTTATTAATCACAGCTCCATACTACGACTACACCCCAAAAGGCAGAGTAAGGAGGCATGCTCATACTTCACTTTGAGCCTTGAAAAAACAAACTCAGCAAAGAAACTGCTTTTGTTCTGGTGATATAGGTAGTTGGTACAATTCTCTCTCTCTAAGGTTAAAGTTTCTTTAACAAAATACTGTTACTGAAGGGATACAGATGAATTGCAGTTCTGCTGCTATTTCAATGCCTCTCTGCTTCGTGTCCTAATTTTTAATAGTACAAACCAAAAACCAGGCAGGGCAGTAAAGGCAGGTCTGAATACAGAGGTGGAACATTAAACACCTTTTAAAGAAGTTGCTTCTTAAAGATGGCTTTCTCAGCAGAACAGAAAGATAATGAAAATTCATGCAAAGCCATATGCATAATACAGGTATGCCAGAAAATGTTTTTCCTCTGATTGTGAGACTAGTGGCTGTGAGAGCCAAATTACTGGCTGGTTTGGGTTTCAGATACAGATCTGTCTGTCACAGCTGAAACCAAGAACATAAAGTAGGAATGCTCCCTTTGTACCTTCAAACGTGCTATGTCATGTCAACACACTCTTGCTGGTTTGTGGAAATAACACAAGAAGACAAACTACAAAACAAAAAAGAGGTGACAGGGGCCCAGAAACTGAATAAGATGTTCCCGTACACTTCATAGTTAAATTACCTAATAGACAATTAAACAATCAGCTTTTATAATACATGTTTGAATTATTAAACTCATAACAAATATCAATGCAGTTAACCTAATAATTTAGCCATATTCTGTAATAGATGTATTTCTTTCAGCTAGAACATCTTAAAACAGATATACTGTAAAATTTAGACTTGAAACACAGGAATACTGTGAGATACAGGAATCAAGCACAGACCAATTTCTGCTATTGCTTGTATTCCTGCCTTCCCACATAAGCAATCTACATACAGTCCAGCTCTAGGAGGAAATAATATAACCTCAGGACAAACATAAGACAAACAGCTTCATTTCTGTAGGTATCAAGACATACATAAAATCTTGGTTTCCTGGGACTGGCATACAGAATACTAAAACAAACCAAACCAAAACCAACACTTCATAGAATTTCAGAAAAGCTTGCAGATTTCTATGTGTACCAAATGGAGCAAGAAGTGTCAACAGTTACCCCTCCTCCAAGTAAACATTTAAAAACAGCAAATAGAATTACAACAACAGAAATATACAAACCTTAATCTAAAGACAATCACAAATTACTGAGAAAATTTTCGTATTCTACCAGTGCTGCTGGATTGCTTTTCCATCTCATCTTTCTCTCCACAAAGTTTGCATGATGCACGCTAAATGAGCCATCTGTAAATCCACATTTTTTTCCAGCCTGTGTTGTTGTCAGCTCTCCGGAATCCTATTGTGCAATTCTCCTCCCCTCTTCCCCAAACACTTCTGCTGATGCAGAGGCTGGCGGCTGCTACAGCATAATGCAGTTTTCAGTAACTATGGCAGCAATAGCTCTGTGGTGAGTGAGGCTGAATGCCTTCTGCAACAAAGTCTCAAGGCTCAAATAGACAAACTCAAGTGAAAATAACCAAAAGCTGAAATACGCCGATTTTCCCAAAGAAAATACCAGTCAAGTCAGCATCCCTATCCTTCTCTTTGCCTAGGATTCAAGTCCCATTTTTCTTTTACAAATGATTTTTTCCAGCGGAAGAAGAGTTAATAACAAAGCAGAAAAAAAGATGTTGGCAAAGCATTTTGCGCCCTTGCGAATCCCAGCACTGAGAGCAAATCACAAGTCAGGCTTACAAGCCTATGCACTTATACACATCTACACCTGCTCTATCCTCCTCCTCCACCCGTGTCCAATCCAGGGCCCTTCCCGCAGGGCCTCAGAGCATCACACAGCAGCGGGTACCACGCAGCTGCACGGGATTGTACATCTGCTTCTGCCCAGCACAGAGGCTAAAACCTCTCCCTCCTCCTTCCTAAAGCAAAGGGAAGAATGATAAAGGAGATACAAAGACCTTGATTATCACCTCCTCCAGCCTCCTGAAGGATGACACTCACAAAATTCTAAGTAAAGGGGGGGGGG